GACGCTATTATTCAATATTCATCATGTGCAAATTTTTAATCATCGGCTGAGCACACACGAGGGATGCTTATAATAAATAATAAATTGCTTTGTGTGAACATCCATTGAGCAAGATTGAACTGATTTTAAGTATGAAGCATCCTGTATGTTTAAACATGAATCTATAAATCATAATACCAATAATGTAGTAAGCATATGAAATTAAGTGTATAGATATAATTGGAATAAGAATGAGAAACACAAACAACTGAATTGTTTATTTTTCATTTAAATGGCGTATTAAGGCAGCAAATCAGTTCTGAGAATAGCATTAGAGTCTTAGAATCTAGACTAGATGTTTGCATATAGAATTAGCACTAAAATGAAGTTAAATCTCCTTTATACTGAAAAGAGATTCAGCTTCGTTATTATCCAGCAAATAAAGTTTTCAATCAATAGTATAATTTCCATTAAGCAGCCACAATTAAGCATCTCTGTTGGAAAGTTGGATGTTTGATTATTAATTAAGATTCCAACAAAACTGAGGTAAGTTAAACATCTTCATTTATCTACTAATACATGGCAAGTCAATTCGATTTCCTTTTATTGTAAGTTCATGTATGATATCATGTAAATTACTTGTGTCATAACTTACTACAAGATGAAATCATTTCCTTTAGAAAAGCATGTTTAAACGACGTTCACGGTATTTTTATTTACACAACTGGTGAATTCCGATAGAAATTTTAAGATTGGAAAAGGCACATGCACATTATTACTATCTATCAATCAAATCTCCATCCCATATAATCACAGACTCGCAAAACCTGATAGAGCAAAAAAACCGTCAATAACTTTTTACTTTCAATTGATCGTCGACATCAGACATATCGGAGTCTTTTCACCTTTCTTTTTCATCACATCGGACAAAAAGCGGCGTACTTTTTGTTGCCATTGTCTGCTGCATAACACTAAGTTGCCATCAAGTCTCACTCTCTCGCAAAATATCAAGCAATATCTCAAAAATATCTGTATTCTCTGCAAAGATATTTTCTTTTTCAGCAATTTCATGGTCTCTAGTTATTTTTAACATGTACCTCTTATGGATTAGTTTTGTGAATAAGAGGAAATTGGACAAATTGTTTTTGAGAAATTTTAACGGTTTATTAATTTTTAAATTTATGTTTCTACGTAATTCAAATTTCAAAAAATCGTTAAAAATTCAAACTTTTATTGCCGGTAATGGTAGAAAACTCTTGAAAGCACCAAGTTATTAAAAACTTTTTAAAACTAATTTCTTCATTCAAATGAAAATATTCAGCATTATAATTGCAATTGAGAGCGAACTTAAAATACCTTAAAAATGATTTAACAAGTGAAATTTTCAATTTCATTAACTTCATTATTTATTTGTACAAGCTTGGATGATGTGAAAAAGTACTTAATTATAACAGACGGTTCGTCATCGTATTTACTTTCGAATTAAATGAAAAATGAAGCGTAAGAGAGTGTCGGAATCTTTTGTGTTATTTACTACAGCACGTGTTTGTATGTACCTCCTTGAACATTTTGTTTTGTGCTGTCATATTCGATGAAAATAATATTATAATCTACGTACATAATATTTAATATAAATTTTTTAAAATGGAAAGTTACTTACTTCTTCTTCTTCTTGCCTTGGCTATCATAGCTCATTGCTCAAACTTGATTCATTTTGCTTCCTAATTAGTCTCCATCCATATTTATGCATAACATAGAGATGAAGTAATTTCTTGCACTACATTAATGTAATGTTTAATGTTGATTAAAAAATCATGTTCCATCCATGTGTAGATACACACCTTCCCCATAAAGGAACTAATTCCTCTTATCATAACTTGTTTATGCTCTTTGCATCACAATCGTCGCTGACTTAATTGCTTTTTAAAGTTTCATTTCCACTTAACAGGTAAAGTATATAGCAAGCAGTGAGAAGCACAGCAACAAAAAAAAAAAGAAATGTTTGCAATTTTATATTGAAATGCTATGAACTAGACCTTCGCATACCTTCAAGGTTAATCGGTAAAGAAATATAAAAAATGCCATTCAATTCTATTTGATTAAACATTTTAATTGTTTTTTGTTTTCCATATTTTTTTATACCTCTATCTACTTACTTCTTGTTGTCGACACAATGGCAGCTTATTAATAGACATGCACTGTACAACAGGTGACTTTTATATTCTGACATAAAATTAGGATTAGAATATGCTAAATATTCAGGATTATTGAGCTAATTCTTTAATGACTTCCGTCGATTAATATCTTTAGATTCCTTATCAATCATCCGACTATACCTAAAAACACAATTTTGAGCGCATTTGGTATAAGCTGAAACATGAGCTGAAGTAAGACTTAAGCATTAATGGTGTAAAGTGTTGAGAGTATTTAAAAGATTTAGAAAGAAACCACAAATTGACCTAAGCCTTTCAATGGAAACCAAAAAACGATCATAATTTGTTAATTCGTTTAAGGTTTGTTTCATATTTGTACTCACTGTTCAATTACAGCTGAAAGTAAGTAAGTACATGAAATGCACTGAATATAAGTGCAGCAGTCATAAGTGTATTTTAACAGGAAAACGTAAATTATTAATCCATCAAATCGTTGAATAGTCATTTACTCTATCAATTATTAAAGAATAGAAAGAAAGAAATCGAGAATTATTGACTTTCCAAGTCACGTCGCCAAATTGCGCGCGTTGGAAGCAGAAAATCAAAATCAATTGGAAACAATTATCATGAACATTTTAAAATTATTTTATTACCTATTAATCTGAAGCATGTCATTATGACTCTACAATTTTAGAACTAGTCTCTTTTGTTTTGCTTCTTTTCACAAGACGTGCCTCTCTTCGCTTTAAGAGGAAGTGGCAATTAATGATCATCTTCGCTTTTCTTTATTTCTATTAAATTATAATCACTTTTTCCTTTAAGAATATTTTTTTATGGATTTCAAAGACGAAAGATGAGTCAAAATGTTCGGTTTGACTGCATCAAGGAACTGCTACGTACAACGATTGATAAAAAATTGGAAAGCATAAGTAAACAGAAAGAACTCTGAAAAATGATAACGGTCAACAAATATTTTAAAAAATAACGATCAAAAAAAATTTAAAAATTATGCTAATGAAAATTTGAAATTAACTGTCAAAAAGAATAAAATGCGTTTTAATATCTAAAACATAATTTAATTGAAAAATTCAAAACTTTTGATACTTACGCATCAACGCAACAGAATACCGATGAACATTAAAAAGAGAATTGAAGATTTTCAATCATCTTGAGCATAATTTGATTTGATTTGATTCTTTTCATAAAATGCACTCACTGAGTTAAAGAAATAAAATTTCGAGATATAAATGCTTAAATATGACTTTCTCATCACAAATATTTGCTCTCTTATTGCTTAATGTTGTCTTTCTTGAGCATCATCACAAGAGAATCTTTTCCTCTCATTCAATATTGATTTTTAATGTGAATTTATGTTGAAGATGTTCGTTCAACCGTTGTATGGTGATGACTATAATAAGCTTATGAGTATGAAACAAAGAATATATTCATCGATTCGGTTTTATTATTATTTCTTTATATATTTTTTTGAAGGTCCCCACATGCGATGCCTGTTCACAGTGAATAGTCATAGACTTAACAGTTAGCCACAAACAATAGATCATGAAGACTTATTATGTTTCATCTTTTTTGATACTTTTTCCAGACAATAGAAAATAGAATGGCCTTTTAAGCTAATACCTTAAGTTCAAATAGTCAATAGACATTTGCATAGTTGTTACTTTAAGAAAACTTTATAGACTGCTCAGAGGTCAACAAATCATTTGAATATTTTTATTTCAACACCTTTCTGGGATGTCCATGCGTATGCATGAGTGGATTTTACCATAGAAAAAAGGCAGAGAACTAGATAATTTAATAAGAACAACAATGTTGTAGGACATGATATGGAGAGAAGGAAGGGATAAGTCAAATCTATGGATAGGTTGTCACATCAGAGGGTTCAGAAGATATAGTACGAGGTTTGACATAGGGAGGAGAATGTTTGCATTTAAATCAATTCAAATTTAATACTTGAAGATGACTCAATAAATCTAGTTAAGGTAATCTCATGATTTTCAATTAGTGGAATATTGGCACAACTTTAACGAATATCAATCACAAAAAAAATTTACACTTGATAATCCATGGACAATGACTTTTGCACTTACTTTTTCCATGCTTCTAACTCATGTCTGTGTTTTTGAGGGTCATTCACATGCCAACCTTTCATTATATGTCAAACATTTTGCGATAAAAATCAACGCATTAGTTCAAAAAAGTTTTGTTAAATATGCCAATCTCTCTCATGTAATTTTTTTTTTTCGATTAATTAAAAGCATATTAATCACAACATAATGAATGATTTGTAACAAATTGTAGATTTTATTGGAAGAGAGTAAAAGATTATCATACATGAAATTTACTTGAAGGTCTCCATGACTATGATGAAAACATGAATAAGGTGTCTTAAATGGTGAAAATTAAGAGTGAAACATACATGCATGTAATTTCTTATAATAGCATTTTTAAATAGAGCTTTCAACAGCAAAGTAAAATTACCTGTCTATATAAATCGCGACTGTTTATCATGACTGTTTTGTTGATTTGAATTAAGAAATTGAGTGTGATGCAAGAGTAGCAAATTTTATATAAAAATTGAGTTCATGTACTATTTTGGGTAAATGTTTTCATCGTCCGCTAATTTGATATTAAAAGAAAAACGTTTGTTCAAAATGTTAAAGATCGCTCCATCTTTGTTTCTTGACTCTCTATGCTGAGTTGTGCAATGTAATGGCAATAATGAATAATAATCTAAGTGAAATGGACATGAGCGAGCTATTACAGATCATATTGTGCCTTATTTTAAAGCAATTTATTTGCATCATCAAGATTCATTAAGTTTAATAATATTGCAGAATTAAGTAGGTACGCAAATTAGCAACAATTTTTATTCATTCGCACAGTGGAAACTTTCATCGTTTTAATAAAAATAATTAATAACTAATGGCAAATGTTTCGATTTTCAGCCACATCATCATATTATGCATGCAAAAGTCCTTCAAATAATTAAAATTGAGCTTCCAATGTTTCTTTATGAGCATCAATTGTTCTTTTTGGTAAAATAAATATTTATTATAAATTTAACAATTTTTCAATCTCATCATTAATGTTCGTGCTTCTGTCATGGCTCAAAGCTTCAGTGTAGACAGAGAAAAATCCTTCAAGCTTTTGCGAGTTTTCCGTTTGATTTTCTTTAATAAAGTAGTAAATCTTTTGTGAAACCTGTTGAATAGAAAAATAATTTTATAATAGCTAGTTATGTATGAAGTACTATAGATCAATAATCATTATAATCTAGGAGAAATACTTACGTAAACATCCAAACTAGCGTACATCAGCTGATTTTCTGACAATGGCATGTTCCAATTGCTCATTCTGACTTGTCTTGCTTTATCGACCTTCTGTTTAAGCGTCTGAAGTGCCAGATTAGCCAAACTCCATCTTTCAGAGCTGTTAAATACTTGATTATAGAATGTTCCCAGTTCTACACACTTCTCTATTAATGGATCTGCTTTAATGTATGGGAAGTCTCTCTCTAGCTTTCTAAAATCATTCTTAATATTAACTCCATGTAAAACTGTTTTTGGATGATTGAGATATGCTACAAATGACGCTGGAATTCTTTTCAGTTTTGAGACTTGAACAATGTAGCAATTATCTAGATCACAGCAAATTTGAATGACTGCTGTTTTGTCAGGTCCTGAGGTCCAATTAAATGACCACTCCATGTCAAACGCTACTGGTAGCTCATTCAAGTCTTTTGATTCCTCATCAATTTGTTTAAGTAACTTATCAAAAGTTTCAGCACAATCGTAGAAATCAGTTATATAATGGATCTTTCCTGAGTATGTAATGAACTCTTTGCTGTTGGATTCAAATCTGTCTGATGAATAAGTTGCTGAATTATCGTTGTTACTTAAATTCAGCTTATTTTTTTCATCGTTAAACAAATTTAAAGGTTTTGGATTTCTTTTCCAATTTCTTTTCGGGATCTTCTTACTTTCTGCATTTTCTTTTGACTTCTTAGCACCCTTAACCATCCATTCTGGAAGTTTACGTTGCTTGCTGCTCATTTTTCACCGACTTAATTGCCTTTTTTTTTTTAAATTAAACTTTACACGAAATTATTTCCTCCAATGTTTACAAATTAATTTACAAAAAAAAAAAAAATAACGATGAAAAATAATGCAAACTGAAAAACTTTTTGAAATTTAAACAACCGTTATTTTTAAGTTGCATAATATTTGAAAAACATATCAATTAACATGCATTGTTATCAAACATTTTCACACATTTTACTGTTATAAAAAGAATTTTCCCAAAATATTTTCATAAAAAAAGATAAAATAAACAAATTGGTTTATATGTAGAGTTTTTTAAATATGTATTGTGTTTCTTCAGTAGTTAAATAGTAAAATCCAATGAAGAAGAAGTTTGGCAAATAAGTTCATGTTCGTAAATAATTAATATTCCAAAAAATTGAACATGAAAAATTCACATTTCAAAAATTAAAGACGAAAAATTCACATTTCAAGAATTGAACATGAAAAATTCACATTTTAAGAATTCAAGATGAAAAAGTCAAATTTCAAAAAATTGAACATAAAAAATTCACATTTCAAAAATAGAACATGAAAAATTCACATTTCAAAAAATTGAACACAAAAAATTCACATTTTAAAAATAGAAGACGAAAAATTCACATTTCAAAAAATTGAACATAAAAAATTCACATTTTAAAAGTAGAAGACAAAAAATTCACATTTCAAAAAATTGAACATAAAAAATTCACATTTTAAAAATAGAAGACGAAAAATTCACATTTCAAGAATTGAACATGAAAAATTCACATTTTAAGAATTCAAGATGAAAAATTCACATTTCAAAAAATTGAACATAAAAAATTCACATTTTAAAAATAGAAGACGAAAAATTCACATTTCAAAAAATTGAACATAAAAAATTGACGTTTCAAAAATAGAAGACGAAAAATTCACATTTCAAGAATTGAACATAAAAAATTCACATTTTAAGAATTCAAGACAAAAAATTCACATTTCAAAAAATTGAACATGAAAAATTCACATTTCAAAATTAAAGACGAAAAATTCACATTTCAAGAATTGAACATGAAAAATTCAAGACGAAAAATTCACATTTCAAAAAATTGAACATGTAAAATTCACATTTTAAAAATTAAAGACGAAAAATTCACATTTCAAGAATTAAACATGAAAAAATTTACATTTCAAGATTTCAAGATGAAAAATTCAAATTTCAAAAAATTGAACATGAAAAATTCACATTTTAAAAATTAAAGACGAAAAATTCACATTACAAGAATTGAACATGAAAAATTCACATTTCAAGAATTCAAGATGAAAAATTCACATTTCAAAAAATTGAACATAAAAAATTCACATTTTAAAAAATAGAAGACGAAAAATTCACATTTCAAAAAATTGAACATAAAAAATTGACGTTTCAAAAATAGAACATGAAAAATTCACATTTCAAGAATTCAAGACAAAAAATTCACATTTCAAGAATTGAACATGAAAAATTCACATTTCAAAAATTAAAGACGAAAAATTCACATTTCAAGAATTGAACATGAAAAATTCACATTTTAAGAATTCAAGATGAAAAATTCACATTTCAAAAAATTGAACATAAAAAATTCACATTTTAAAAAATAGAAGACGAAAAATTCACATTTCAAAAATTGAACATAAAAAATTCACGTTTCAAAAATAGAAGACGAAAAATTCAGGTTTCAAAAATTGAAGACAAAAAATTCACATTTCAAGAATTCAAGACAAAAAATTCACATTTCAAAAATTGAACACGAAAAATTCAAGAAGAAAAATTCACATTTCAAGAATTAAACATGAAAAAATTTACATTTCAAGAATTCAAGATGAAAAATTCAAATTTCAAAAAATTGAACATGAAAAATAAAGACGAAAAATTCACATTTCAAGAATTGAACATGAAAAATTCACATTTCAAGAATTCAAGATGAAAAATTCACCTTTCAAAAAATTGAACATGAAAAATTCACATTTCAAAAAATTGAACATAAAAAAATTCACGTTTCAAAAATAGAAGACGAAAAATTCAGGTTTCAAAAATTGAAGAAAAAAATTCACATTTCAAGAATTCAAGACAAAAAATTCACATTTCAAGATTTCAAGATGAAAAATTCAAATTTCAAAAAATTGAACATGAAAAATTCACATTTTAAAAATTAAAGACGAAAAATTCACATTACAAGAATTGAACATGAAAAATTCACATTTCAAGAATTCAAGACAAAAAATTCACATTTCAAGAATTGAACATGAAAAATTCACATTTCAAAAAATTGAACATGTAAAATTCACATTTTAAAAATTAAAGACGAAAAATTCACATTTCAAGAATTGAACATGAAAAATTCACATTTCAAGAATTCAAGATGAAAAATTCACCTTTCAAAAAATTGAACATGAAAAATTCAAGAAGAAAAATTCACATTTCAAGAATTAAACATGAAAAAATTTACATTTCAAGAATTCAAGATGAAAAATTCAAATTTCAAAAAATTGAACATGAAAAATAAAGACGAAAAATTCACATTTCAAGAATTGAACATGAAAAATTCACATTTCAAGAATTCAAGATGAAAAATTCACCTTTCAAAAAATTGAACATGAAAAATTCACATTTCAAAAAATTGAACATAAAAAAATTCACGTTTCAAAAATAGAAGACGAAAAATTCAGGTTTCAAAAATTGAAGAAAAAAATTCACATTTCAAGAATTCAAGACGAAAAATTCACATTTCAAGATTTCAAGATGAAAAATTCAAATTTCAAAAAATTGAACATGAAAAATTCACATTTTAAAAATTAAAGACGAAAAATTCACATTACAAGAATTGAACATGAAAAATTCACATTTCAAGAATTCAAGACAAAAAATTCACATTTCAAGAATTGAACATGAAAAATTCACATTTCAAAAAATTGAACATGTAAAATTCACATTTTAAAAATTAAAGACGAAAAATTCACATTTCAAGAATTAAACATGAAAAAATTTACATTTCAAGAATTCAAGATGAAAAATTCAAATTTCAAAAAATAGAACATGAAAAATTCACATTTTAAAAATATAAGACGAAAAATTCACATTTCAAGAATTGAACATGAAAAATTCACATTTTAAGAATTCAAGATGAAAAATTCACATTTCAAAAAATTGAACATGAAAAATTCACATTTCAAAAAATTGAACATAAAAAATTCACGTTTCAAAAATAGAAGACGAAAAATTCAGGTTTCAAAAATTGAAGACAAAAAATTCACATTTCAAGAATTCAAGACAAAAAATTCACATTTCAAGAATTGAACATGAAAAATTCAAGACGAAAAATTCACATTTCAAAAAATTGAACATGTAAAATTCACATTTTAAAAATTAAAGACGAAAAATTCACATTTCAAGAATTAAACATGAAAAAATTTACATTTCAAGAATTCAAGACAAAAAATTCACATTTCAAAAATTGAACACGAAAAATTCAAGAAGAAAAATTCACATTTCAAGAATTAAACATGAAAAAATTTACATTTCAAGAATTCAAGATGAAAAATTCAAATTTCAAAAAATTGAACATGAAAAATAAAGACGAAAAATTCACATTTCAAGAATTGAACATGAAAAATTCACATTTCAAGAATTCAAGATGAAAAATTCACCTTTCAAAAAATTGAACATGAAAAATTCACATTTCAAAAAATTGAACATAAAAAAATTCACGTTTCAAAAATAGAAGACGAAAAATTCAGGTTTCAAAAATTGAAGAAAAAAATTCACATTTCAAGAATTCAAGACAAAAAATTCACATTTCAAGAATTGAACATGAAAAATTCACATTTCAAAAAATTGAACATGTAAAATTCACATTTTAAAAATTAAAGACGAAAAATTCACATTTCAAGAATTAAACATGAAAAAATTTACATTTCAAGATTTCAAGATGAAAAATTCAAATTTCAAAAAATTGAACATGAAAAATTCACATTTTAAAAATTAAAGACGAAAAATTCACATTTCAAGAATTGAACATGAAAAATTCACATTTCAAGAATTCAAGATGAAAAATTCACATTTCAAAAAATTGAACATAAAAAATTCACATTTTAAAAAATAGAAGACGAAAAATTCACATTTCAAAAAATTGAACATAAAAAATTGACGTTTCAAAAATAGAACATGAAAAATTCACATTTCAAGAATTCAAGACAAAAAATTCACATTTCAAGAATTGAACATGAAAAATTCACATTTCAAAAATTAAAGACGAAAAATTCACATTTCAAGAATTGAACATGAAAAATTCACATTTTAAGAATTCAAGATGAAAAATTCACATTTCAAAAAATTGAACATGAAAAATTCACATTTCAAAAAATTGAACATAAAAAATTGACATTTCAAGAATTCAAGATGAAAAATTCACACTTTAAGAATTCAAGATGAAAAATTCACATTTCAAAAAATTGAACATGAAAAATTCACATTTCAAAAAATTGAACATAAAAAATTCACGTTTCAAAATTAGAAGACGAAAAATTCAGGTTTCAAAAATTGAAGACAAAAAATTCACAATTCAAGAATTCAAGACGAAAAATTCACATTTCAAAAAATTAAAGACGAAAAATTCACATTTCAAGAATTGAACATGAAAAATTCACATTTCAAGAATTCAAGATGAAAAATTCACATTTCAAAAAATTGAACATGAAAAATTCACATTTCAAAAAATTGAACATAAAAAAATTCACGTTTCAAAAATAGAAGACGAAAAATTCAGGTTTCAAAAATTGAAGACAAAAAATTCACATTTCAAGAATTCAAGACGAAAAATTCACATTTTAAGAATTCAAGATGAAAAATTCACATTTTAAAAATTAAAAACGAAAAATTCACATTTCAAGAATTGAACATGAAAAATTCACATTTCAAGAATTCGAGAGGAAAAGTTCACATTTTAAGAATGAAGACAAAAATTCCATTTCAAGAGTTACACAAGAAAAATTTACATCTTTAAACATTTTGAATTCCAAAACTATCCAATCCA